AGTGGGCATCCTTGCCTAGTTCCTGTTCTTAAAGGGAATGCCTTTAACCTCTCTCCATTGAGAACGATGTTGGCTCTTGGCTTTTCATAAATACTTTTTACTATGTTGAAGAAATTCCCCTCTAATCCTATTTTGTTGAGTTCTTTCATCAGGAAAGGGTGTTGGATTTTGTCAAAGGCTTTTTCTGCACCAATTGATAGGATCATGTGGTTCTTTTTCTTTGCTTTGTTAATATGATGAATTACACTGATTGTTTTCCTTATGTTGAACCACCCTTGCATACCTGTTATAAAGCCCACTTGGTCATGATGGATTATTTCTTTGATGTATCGTTGAATTCTATTGGCCAGGATTTTATTCAGTATTGGAACTACCATTTCTTTAAGGATAGGTGCTAACAAGAAGTGAATGCATAAAGGCTAAAGGTTTAGATTCTTTCCCTAGATAGTCCAAATGGTCCTTAAGCAATTACTAACCCAAAGGTTGGCACTTTGACCCCACCCAGTGGAGCTAAGGGGGGGAAAAAATCTAGCAATCTGCTTCCATAAAGATTCCAGCCAAGAAAAATCTATGAGTCAGCACTGGTTTCTACCTCATGAGGTCACAATTACTTGGAATTAACTTGACAACAAATAGATTTGGTTTTTCTTGCTAAGAGTTAAATAGACCCAGAAAGAACAAGCAATGATGGATAGGGCTATAACAAGTTAAGATATTAGGGTCTCAATTTTGGACTTTTTTTTTAATTTAGCACAAGTGAAAAAAGTGTATTACATTAATGCAAAGGTGGCATGATTGGTGAAAAATAAAGACAGAAAGGAAAGAAGCCATTTTGAATTTTTAAAAGCAACCTACAGAAATGGTAACAAGAAAAATAAAGGAGATTTAAGAAAATACAATATAATGAATGGAACAAATATCTGGTAGAAAATAGATAACTTCCATTATTCTTTCAGAGCATTACGAGAATGGTCTCATCACATCATTCACTGTTACTAAATTCCAAGGCATGATGCATCAGTACTCCATTAGCATGACAGTATTTAATGGTGATAGAGAAAAGACACTCCTATTTCCTATTGAATTACTTCAGTCATTTCCTCCTTTATCTGCCTAATCTATGGGTTCATCCTGACTTGCTTAAAAGGTCTGAGACTTTATATAGATATGGAATATTTTCTACTCTTACAAACCAAGTCCTCTGATGCCTATTGAACCTTTTTTTTCTTGGCTCATTTTACCTTATCCAATCCTTGTTTGTCGTGCTATATTAAACTCTTAAGTCTGAAAGAAATTAAGAGATAAAAGATCCTCATAAATATTAAAACAAACTCACCAACTGGATGAGTGATGGTGTTCTGTAGGCTGGGAATAACAACAGAGTAGGTAGGTGAGCGGTAGGGATACATTGTAGGATTTGTAGAGATGATATTCTGTGTGGTACCAGAAAATACACTGGAAACACTGAGAGGGAACCGTTTCCGCTTCCCTGGACGAGGCTGATAAACCCAACCTATAGAAGAAGATATAATTATTTTTAACTAAAATGTGTAGACTATTTAAATAGTCCTTTTTGCATTAAAATCTAACACACTTCTAAGTTTTGTTTTTTAAATAAGTTATCATCTAATGTATGTTTTCCAGCTGTATCATACTATTGCTGTGAATGACTTCTTCATGTGCTTTTTTACCATACATATACACATAGCTCCTTTGGTCAATGTTATAATCTATAGTTCAAAAGAAAAATCACTGAACTCAAATACATAAACTTTTACCCTATAAAACAATGTCCCAATAAGACATTATTTATTTCCTATTTCCTCATTTTCCTCATTATCTTATAATTTAATGCATCGTTGCTACTATTTTTATGATTGGCTCAAGAACTCAAATTTTTCAGTTGATAGTTTCCAAATCGACAACTAAATTTCAAAGTCAGAATAGTGGGGCTATGGTAATTCTAAGCACTGTGTAACCAGAACAATTACTGGTTTCCTTAATTGCTGGTTTCCTTAATTGCTGATCTTTCTTTTAGAATCTCTTTGTTCCTATTTCGAAGAGGAAGGGAAAAATATTCTTTTCCTGGCATACAATGTTATGTTGGTTGTTCACTGTGCGCTTGCACACATTTAATCTCAGTGTCCTTATTGGTGGTGGGAATCGGACTCATTCAAAGATATATCATGATAGGGCTACGTATAGTCATCAGAAGACAAGACTATATTATGATAAACACATATTTATTAAACTGGAATGTGATGCTAATCCCTGAATTCTCATTATCTTGAAATGTGCATTTTCAAATTATGGTCTAGAAATACATTTCCGTTTTTCCTAGCCATTCAAATAAAGTTTAGAAGAGCCTGAAATGTTTTCATGATTCTCAGAATAAAAAACAACTCAGAAAGTAGAGCAAGTTTTAACCAAAACTAAACTTTCCAATAGCCTACTCTTGATTCTATTCAAGAAAACTTATTACCAGGACCAATACAATCATTACTATAAAATTAACCATAACTCTCTTTACCACATATATCAGACGAGAAAAAAGTGAACCACCTTGCTTTCCGTCCAATCTTTCAGGCTAATCTTTACCTAAGCAAATTTAAAAGCAATTAGAAAAAGGTTGTGTTCATTTCATTTGATTACCAGGAAATTCCTCTCTGTGCTTTTCTTTAATTTTTTGTGCTTCATCATAATATGGTTTCTTTTGTTCTTCACTAAGCTTGTTCCATTCTAACCCAAGTTGTACACTGATTTCTGCATTATTGGCTGCTGGGTTAGCCTTGGCTAGTGCTGGACGGTGGATCCTTGCCCAAACCATAAACGCGTTCATGGGTCGCTTCACATGACCATTTCTGTCCTTACTGAAGGGAGTATCTGGTATTCCTACACAACAGAAATGAACAAATTAAATTAATGTGATGTACACAATTTTAAAGTGAAGTGCACACTTGAATTCTATGTATATTTTTGTAAGTATCTTGAGAAAACAACAGACATTTTTCAACATAATTGGTATTTCCTAACTCTTTCAAGTTATTCAAGCAGTTGAATAACTCTTTTTCCTCAAATAGAGCAAATAACGTGCTAGTTGAGGACACAGTAAATTGCTAATTTACTAGTTCTTGAACGTTATCACTATCTGTAAAAACAATAGTTTATTTCCCATTAAAAATATTCTATCATAAAGGGCATATTCATGGATATATAATATCCACGATTACAATTCTACTATTGTTTGTTATAGAAGGAGAATTGATGCCTTTGAGCTGTGGTGCTGGAGAAGAGTATTGAGGATACCATGGACTGCTAGGAAAACAAATAGATTCATCCTGGAAAGGATTAAACCGGGCTGCTCCTTGGAGGCAAGGATTCTCACTTTGGACATGTTGTCAGGAGAGACCGGTCCTTGGAGAAGGACATCATGCTTGGGAAGGTGGAAGGACAGCGCAGGAGGAAAAGGCCCTCTATGAGGTGGATTGATTCAGTAACTGGGGTAATCGGGATGGGAGAGTTAGAGGCAGTGCGACTGGCACAGGACAGAGCAGAGTTTAGGGCTATTGTGCATAGGGTCGCTATAAGTCTCAAGTGACTCGACGGCACATAACAACAACAGCAATATACCATCTAATCAGAACTGACCCATTGCTGACCCCCCAACGGGTTTTCAGAGGCAGTGAATCACCTGTTCATCTTTTCCCACAGAGCAGCTGGTGGATTAGAACCACATGCCTTCAGATTGGCAGCATAGCTCCATACCACTAGGCCACCAGAGCTTCCTGAATTCTATTATTAGGTAAACCAAATCCAACCAGACCAGTTATGGTTGGTTCCAATTTACAGAGACCCTATATGGCAGATGGTTAATTGTCCCATAAGGTTTCTAACATGGTGAACCTTTAGGAAGCAGATTGACAATCTTTCTCTTGCTGACAGACTGGTGGGTTCACGTTTCTGTGATCAGCCAAGCACTTACCCACTGTGCCACTAGAGTTCCATAGCATTTGATAGCCTTGCCGTTGAGTTTATTCTGACAGTGACCCTGTAGAGCTTTCCCCTTGGTTTCCAAGGCTATACGTTTTCACAGAAGCAGACTGCTGCATCTTTCTCCCAGAAGGCAATTGGTGGGCTCAAATAGGCCAGTGTCACTAGGCCCCCTAAATGTATAAAGGAGCTTATTTACATGTCATTAGAGTGTTCATTCAAGCCAAAAATATTAATATTATACCCTTAGTTTTCTTTCTGGGTGCTCTGTAATGTCATCTACAGGGAGTTTCACTGCTAATTACAAGACTTTGCCTTTCTGGTGATTCAAATCCACCAGTGGCCTTGAGAAATATGGATAAGCAATCTCCTCCTGTGCTACTACAGCCTCCGCAACCCGAAAGAGGGTCAGTTCCTACTCAATGGCAATGAGAGTGAGAGAGAGGGAGGAAGAACTATTTCATAAGATTTAAAGTGCTGAAGCTCCTGTCCAGGTGGATTGTCATCACTAGTCCCATGTACTAGGAGGAAAACAAAGCAAAAATATTACAAGTGACTTACTGAGAACCACAGAACCAAGTAAAGTTACAATAAAGAAGTTGGCGAAGTTCACATCTTTAGGGTTCATCAAAAACAAGTGCATAGGAAAAATGGGGGTAGCTCTGGTGGCCTAGTGAATAAGGAGTTGCTCAATAAATCCAAAGGTGGGTGATTTGAATCTACTACCCATTCAGTGGGAGGAAAATGAGTACTCTCTTCCCATGAGATTTGCTGCTGAAAACTCGTTAGAGGGCCAGCAATGAGTCATTGTGAAGGTACATACATAACAACAGAAAAGGGGTGGGGGGGAACCTTCCTACAAATTTCCTATAGTTCACTAGAGTTACTCAATTCATAATCTTTTTTAAAATGTACAAAGGATGAAATAAGTACAATAAATAAATAAATAAGACCTTTCAAAAATGAAAATAAAGTTTAAAAACAAAAGACTCATATGAGTAAAATAAATACAAGTTAATGAAATATAAAGATTACTATGAATTTCTACAACATTCATTGACATTTAGCTAAATATAAGAATTTGCTACTTTTAAAAAATACTGAATAGAAATATCTATTGGTAGTAATTTGTAAAAACAATTTTTCCAGCTTATTCTACAATATTTTCAATTGCTTTTCATCTGTCTTTGCTTTTGAAAGAGTTAAGTATGAGAGTGCTAAACTTATTTTCTTCTCCTGGAAAAGGTTTACTGCTGACTTAAAAAAAAGAGTCCCTGTAATGTATAAACATTCCTCTTTCTTGAGAAAAAGGTTTGCTACTTATTTTCTATGCTGATCATTTGTAGCAGATAAACCTGGAGCGGTGTCTAGCTAAAGACTATTTTGCATATAACCATTAGTTATATCCAATTCTTGGACATTTATTGGACCTTAAAACATATTTTCTTCTGATGTTTGGGAATCGTTAGCTTGTTAGTGTATTTTGGGTACAAGTTATTCGGCAGTGATACCTGTGCAGCCTTTGCCCTGAAAAGAATCAGTTCCATGATATTATTTTCCTAGTTTAGGCTTCTGAACTGCTGACATGTCAGCTATTGGGACAACAATGGCGAAGTTAGGAAAATAGATTCCCTGCCGTCTAATACCTGCATCTGAGGGAAGCACGGTGAGTGGGACATCTTTAGTTTCAATTTTTACAGAAGGTTCCAATAAGGACTGCATTTTAATAGGCACAGGTGTCAGGGGAACCTTGGTCAATCTTATCAGTTCTGAGGGTGGAGGTCCCTGAAATTGGATCCGGGTCCCAGGGAGGACCGTGTGAAGTGTCAAAGGGATCCTGAGATCTTGCTGATGTGACCCAAAGGCGCTGGCAGGCGGGGCCAGGATGACTTCCTTGCTGTTATGGATCAAGTCACTGCGCGGGGGCTCCGAACTGAGACTGCAGTCTCCGTGGAGTCTCTCGGATTCCTCCGTTTTAATGGCTTCTTCTCTGATTGTCACCAGGCTCTTGTCTTCGCCGACTTTCTCCACATTCCTCATGACCTCCTCGGCCTCCAATTTGACCTTCTCCTCTTCTTGCCCGCTGTCGAGGGCCAGCCCGGGGTCTTCCACTTTAGCTACTCCCGAAGGTCTGGATCCAGTCTCGACGACCCTCCAAGGCCCCGATGACCATTCCGAGCCAGGCCCAGCCTCCTGCTTCTCCACCTTGACCTGCAGCGCTCGGGGCTGCGCCGACTGCACTTCGGGCCTGCAGGGGGCGCCCTCGGTCATGGGCGGCGGCGGCTGCGGGAGCAAGACAAGCTCTGGCCTCAATTGCACCAATCGCGCCTGCGCAGGAGAGGCAGCCGCCGCTTCGTCCCGCGCTGGAGGCAGTGGTGGCCCAGGTGGCAGCAGGAGCACCTGTTCTGGCTTCACCTGCAGCAGCCGCCGGGCCGCAGGCGGTATATCGGACCCCTGTGCCTCTCCGCACGAAGAGGCTACGGTTACAGTGGCGGCCCCACAAGAGGCTGGAGGTGACTGGGAGGCCTCGACGGCCGCTGCCTTAAAAGAGGCACTCTCCACAGGCAGCGGGGGCACAGCGGGGCGCAAAGGGCGCGGAGGGGTCGTCCGAGGCAGTTGGCGCGCCTGATGCGGAGGCTCCTGCCTGGCTCTCTCCATTGGGGGAGGGGGCCGCCCGGGCTGGTCCCTGTCGGGATTGTGAGCTCAGCCGTTTGTTGGCGACCTTCGCCCTCCCCCTTTCAGTTAAGACCCTTCCAAGGATTTTGCTACCCAGAACCCTACGCGGTTCAAAAATGCTGTCCTGAGCTTGGTCACACCCAATCACAACCGCCTGGGGATTCCTGGACCGCCAATCACAAAGCTCTCTCCTGCCCCACCCGCCTCTGCCTGTTGCCACGTGCTTGATCCTCGAATCACCCGTTGTGGCTGGGGCCACAGCACGTGCTGCTCATTTTCCCCTGTGGCCCTCCCTCTCTTCCGGAGTTCTCTTCCGGCAATTGCCCTTAGTTACCCCTCCCCCTGCCCGCACCAGCCCACAATGGTGTTACCCAGGAAACCAAGTGGTTCCAGGCCACACTCCTGAGGGAATAAAGGCATGCAGAAAGGTGCGCAGAAAGAATGCACGAATTGATGGTTCCTGCACCCAGAGTCTCTGAAGGTCTAGTTAGAAGGGGAAATTCCTCAAACATCTCAATAAGACCATCGGTTGGACTCTGTAAGAAGAGCAGTTGAGTTAGTGTTGTGATTGTGCTAGTTAAATGTACATTTAATCACCTGATCCTGTAGTCTCTACTTTCAAAATGCACTCCAAAGTCATTTTTTTCTTTGGGTCACCAAGGCTACCACAGTCTTGTAAGATCCCGCTATCTTTCCCTTGAATATTACAATATCCTTGTCTTTTTACCATTGTCCTACTACATTCTAGATTCCGGTGATACTTAAAAAATACTAATCTGGTTGTGTCATACCCTTGGGTTTCCAATGGCTACATGAAAGAAAAGAAAATCCTTAGCAAAGCTTCTAAAGGCCGGAGTCTCCTAGGCTTTGCCACCCACAACTCCTCCTTCCCATTTGTAGTCAAGACTTTGTTGGTTTCAGCCACAATGGTGTTGAAGCTTTCCCTTTCCTATCACAGGATCTTTGAAACTTCTATCTTTGACACTACTAATATTTCAGATAGTTCAACAGCCTTCTCTAACTCTGAAAACAAATCTACTTTACATTGTCGTATTTGTTTTGTTTCTTCTAAAGTGCTTACCAAAATTTGTAGTTATATTTTTCTTTGTACCATAATTCTACTGCCTGTTCTTGAGTGCAAAACTGTGTGTGTTTTCCTAATCATGAACTCCTAATATCAAGCAGTGAAACTGACTGGCATACGTGAGGAATTTAATAAATACTTGTTGAGTAAATAAATAAAATCACCACCGACCAATCATACGCTGATAATAATCACTACCTATCGGGTTGATATGAGTCAGGATGGACCCATCAGCAATGGGCTTAGTCCTAGTCTGTTAACAAGGGCATCAGGAACGACTAACTTCTAGAAGTGGGCTTGTTTAATAAAATAGAGAGGGTCAATGAAAAGGAAAGAAGCCCTCAATGAGAGTAATTGAAAGAGTAGTCACAGCAATGGACTCAAACGTCCGAATATAAAAACAACACAAAGGACCAGAGAATGTTTCCTCTATTAAAAATAAGGTCCCCATGAATTGAAGCCAACTGGATGCCAACTAACGACAATGTCATGGTCTTACTCTATGCTAAAATCTGTGGATGATGCAAACAATAAATGCACACACTACTAACAAAAAAGTTGATCATTTGATCCGATCCAGAGATATTTTAAGGGAGGTCTGATGGCCTAGTGAGGAAGGAGTTGTGCTGCCAACACAAAAGAACATGTTTAAAATCCGCAAGCTGCTCTTTGGGAAAGATGGGCAGTCTCCTGCTGTGTAATTTAACTGCCTCTGAAAGCCTGTAAGACAGTCAGCTGTATGTTTGAACTCAATGGTACATAACTACAACAAGAAATCTTATCCAAGAAGAGGCTTCCATGGACATCAGTCATGGAAAACCTTATGGAACACAGTTCTAATTGACTTGATTAGAACTGCCTTGAGTTGGGGCTGATTACGGTTGGTTTTTGAACTTTTTTTAAACTACTATTGTAGACATAGCCCCATGTCCTTTCTATTCTTATGCCTCTCCTTTTACTAGAACTGTGTTTATTAACATTCAACATCACCCAAAAAGATAAATCTAATTATTATTATTATTTATTATTCTTTAAATATTAATATTTGCTAGATTTCTAAATTACTTCCTGATATAAAGCGATAGCTTTCTCTTTAAGCCGTTGAACTGTGCAGCCAAGACAAGTTATTTCTCAAATAACTTCCCCAACTCTCTTAATTGTTGTTGTTGTTGTTGTTATGTGCTGTCGAGTTGCCTTTACCTATGTACAACAGCCCTAAACCCTGCTCTATCCTGTGCAGTCTTACTGTTTCTGAAACACCTAACCCCATTCCACCAGTCACTGAATCATTCCATCTCATCGAGGGTCTTCCTCTCCTGCGCCGTCCCTCCACGCTCCCAAGCATGACGTTCCTCTCCAAGGACTGATTTCGCCTTGCAACATGTCCAAAGTATGTCAAACTACATTTCAGAATCCTTACCTCCAAGGAGCAGCCTGGCTTCACCTTCTCCAGGATGAACTTGTTTGTTCTCCTAGCAGTCCATGGTATATTCAGTACTCTTCTCCAACAAGACAGCTAAAAGGTATCAATTCTCCTTCTATCATCCCTAGTCATTGTCAGCTTTCTGATGCATAGCAAGTAATTACAAAGACTTACATTGCCTGCATCAGGTGCACCTTAGTCTCCAGACTGACATGGTTACTCTTCAGTACTTTGGAGAGGTCTCTGACAGCAGACTTTCCTAATGCAATCCATTGTTTAATTTCCTGGATGCTGGTACCAAGAGTGTTGATTGTGCAGCCAAGCAAACTAAAGCTGTTAACAATCTCAATTTCCTCACCATCTATCATGATGCTGCCAATCGGCCCAGTGATGAGAATATTTGTTTTCTTGATGTTGAACTTCAATCTGCCTTGAAGCCTGCAGTCCTTGACCTTCTGCAGCAAGCACTTTAGGTCCTCCTCAGTTTCAGCAAGCAGGATTGTGTCATATGCATAACACAGATTGTTAATGAGTCTACCTCCAATTTTGATGCCACTCTTCTCCTCATAGAGCCCAGCCTCCTGTTAGGACACATCCCAGGCATACACCCTTCTGTTCTGATGACTACCTCCTGGCCCAAGTATAGTTTTTGCATAAGCACATTCAAGTGTTCTGGGATTCCCGTTCTTCTCAGAGTCAGCCACAGCTTGTTGTGATCCACACAGTCAAATGCCTTTACATAATCAATAAAACACAGGTAGACATTCCTCTAGCACTCTCTGTTTTCAGCCAAGATCTATTACGCATTTTAAAATGTGACGAGCAGGAGGCCTGTATATGGCAAGTAGACAAGGGCAATTGTTCGCTAACATTATTTTCTCAGTAAACATTGCATCTATAAAAATTACTAACATTTCCAAAGAGGTTGTTTATGGGGTTTGTATTTGTCAATCCTTACCATATTATGAAGAAAAACTGAAAACTTTAAAAATATTTATTCAATTAAAATAAGTCATTATATGTCAGCATAACACAATTTCCTAAAAATACGAAACCCATGCACCTACCAACAACACTTCCTACCTAAGTCTAAAGAGCAGCATTACCTTACATTTTGTGAGTTTAATATCTGTCTTCATAATAATATCTGTATTTCCATGTGCTTGTGCATTCCTTTCACTATAATTCACACATCAGGTAGACAATGGGAAACATCACTATGAACCTTGTGAGGGAATGATCAAAAAAGGGCAAATATTGTCTTTGAATTCTTTTGAGAATAGTCTTAACCTAGCAGTCTCCCTGAAAAGCTCTAAGAAATGTCAAACTAAGGTTAAAATGAAAAGAGCTAGGCATATGAATAAGCCAATTCTGATAAAAGAGACAAAAAAAAAAGTCAAGTTAACATTTTGTGCATGTTCCTATCTGATGTATTAATTTTTGAAAGGTAATGTGAAAATCCTCGGTGACAACAATACAAACAATACCTTGGGAATGCATTTTAAGCAGAAAGCATTGGGAAAAAAGTCCACCAAAATAACCTAGTTTTGTATTAGGGAGTGCTAGTGCCCTACTACAAACATAGGTTATACATAGGGTTTTCAAAGCCCTGTTATTTCAGAAATGGATGGCAAGTCCTTCTTCCTAATCTGTCTTAATTTGCGTACTCAGCTTTAGAGCAGTATTTAACAGATAAGCATTTTATCCAAAAGAGCTAATGAGACTATTCACATAACAAATCAGGTGTTGAAATGTGCAAAGAGCTGGAATTGGAAAACCAAAAGGGATTAGTTTGCTCAGCATTTCTTAAGCTGAAAGAAATGAAGGACAAATTCAAGCGTTCAATACTTATAGGATGCTGTGGGCAGAATATTGAATTACCTAGGAAGCAACAAAAGAAGATAGAAGGTGTACACAGAGTTATTATACCAAAATTAATTTGCTGACATAGCAGAATTTCATGAAATAACGTATGATCAAGGGCCTATGGTGATGAAGGAGGAAGCTCCAGCTGCTATGAAGGAATTGGCAAAAAATAAGGCTCAAGGAATTGATGGAATACCAATTGACATATTTTAACAAATAGATGCTGCCCTGACACCCTCACTAGGTTGTGCCAAGAAATTTGGAGGACAACTACCTAGCCAACTGACTGGAAAAAAAATCCATATTTATTTCGATTAAACAACAAAAACAAAGATGATCCAACAGTTGTTGTTGCTGTTGTTGTTATGTGCTGTTGAGTGGCTTGTGACTCATAGCGACCCTATGTACAAGAGCCCTAGATCCTGCTCTATCCTGTGCCAACCTCACTGTCTCCAACACACCTACTCCCACCACTCCAATCACTAAATAGATCCATCTTATTGAGGGTCTTCCTCCCCTCCACTGTCCCTCCACTCTCCCAAACATGATGTCCCTCTCCAAGGACTGGCCCCTCCTTGCAACATGCCCAAAGTATGTCAGACAAAGCTT